TGAGTGTGGTGGGGAGTGTAACAGTGATGGTCAAAGTTGGGGATTCAGCAAAATGGGGGAATGGGAGGAGTTTAACTTGTTTCTTCTTTAAGAAAAATAAGCACAAAACTACCTCTCTTCTTGAAAGCTTCGCGGGGACACTCTTGGATCAACATTTGGAAGAGGCTTTTTTTGCGTGATCTTCAGCCCTCCGGTTGGGGAAGGGCCAGGTGGATTACCACCTTTTTTTGGCTCCTTCCCGGCCCGGAAGTTCGCTTTCGATTGGGTATAACGATGTTATGCTGGGAGCCTCTTAAAGGTGCTTTAAGAGCTCAAAAACTCTGTTTTAATAGGGCTAAATTAGGGTCCCTGTCCCTCAATCTGGAGTTTTGTCTAAAGAAGCAAGGATTGCAATAGCTTCGAATCTTTTACTGATACATGGACATTGTATGGATCGATGAACTTAAGAGCCTTGATCATTACAAAGGGTGATGCTATGGAGTCGAGCTTGTTCATGGAGAAGAAAATCAATTTATTACTTGTTAAAAAAGGTACATTAGTTACCAACATCCAACATACCTCAAGTTAACAATATTGATTCAACAGACCTCAAGTTATATGAAACACAATAAAAAGCACTGATTTGTTTATGCACACAAGGTAAACCGCAATTTGTACGCACTTAACAACCATAATTTTCAAAAGAACATGCAACAGTAGGGTTGGACTTGGTATGATACGAAGTCTTTTTCCCCAATAACATGTACCAACCAATTATAAATGGTATGTAAAATTCTATAGTGTATACCAAACAACTTAATTGTACTGACTTCTTTTCGATTGGTAGATGATGGCACTACTTTTATATCAACTTTAAGTCACATATATGCAAAACTTACCATTTTATTTAAATTTTGAGTGACATTTTTGAGTTTACAAGTAATACATATCATGCTTAAAGTTTTTTAATTGCAAGAAATAGAACTTCCGAACATTCAAATACCCAAACAAGAAAATCAACAATACAAAACTTAAAAATCAATAACTATATTTATAATTAATCAATTTTATTTTAAGAATAATTAAAAAGTCGGTACGCAACTTTCAATATTGTATATGACCCGAGTTTACATACTTAATATGATGTTATCAACCAATTGTAATTAATACAACAAAATCAATACGATTGATACACAGTTTAATTTGGTACAAAACTTTCTATCGTTGCTCAACACCAGTAGTAATAAAACATATAAGACAGTTTAAAAGGATGGATATCAGTTATTTTCAAACAGAGGAGATTCCTTGGAAATTAAATCACAAGTTACAACAAGAATATTCATTATCACAGTACGGGGGGTACAAGCACTGTAGTAGAATAACCCACTGTATAACACAGAATTGACGACCCTTTTGTTTTCATCAATCTTCTCTCCAAGAAATCCACTTATAACTCCTGGGTAAACTAATTCAACACACGAGTCTTTGTTCTTGATTACCCGTTTCGAATTCTAGGGTTTTGGCTTCATAGATCTTTCGAGCTTTTAGCAGCGTTTCCTGTAAGCTAGGTGTCTGGGTCTGTGGATCTGAATTTAGATCGTTTGAAGATGTTTTGGCGTATGACCGGTTTGTCCACTGTATCTCCGGTACGTGATTGATTATTTCATGAACTTTGTTAGATACTTTAGGCATCTCTTTGAACACTGGCTTAGATTGATTAGCATTTAAACTGATACTGCAGGCTGAGGTGTTTTCCCTTTTCTTTAACTCCCTCTAAAGCCCTGCTATCGAGAAAATATTCATACTGAACCGTTGAGTTTTCTTGGTATTGTATTGAATTTCCTTTGGTTAGGTTTATAAGGTTGCGCTTGTTGAAAGGAACTGTACCTTTTTTGTAAAGACGAACTGATCATTGTGTAATCAATGCAACAGTATAGCTGTAATAAACCCAGAATGACTAACGGTGTAATTGTTCACATTTGATACTCCATGGAATCAAATATTGGAACTATGCCAAATTTACACATGGACCATTTTGGATCCGTGTCACATTTGTTTTGAGGTTTTGGAGTAGTTGAAGGAGGTCTACATTCTTGTGAATGCTCTCAAAGTACATAAGAATGTTTAATTTAAAATATTTCAGTCATGCTTATACTTGGTCAATTACCTTATTAACTTAATTAAGTTTATACTTTGGTGGGAATAATTAAGTTCATAAGTTGGGTGGTTCTTAAGTATTCCTTGGAGGTAAAGGTTAACCAAGGCCTTTAAGTAAGATATGTTTTATGTTGATTAATCTTCTAAATCTATCATCAAACACACTATCGGATGACGAGTAGGGTGATAAGAATAGTGCCTTATTCAGTTACTCATAGAACAGTAGTTTACATTTACGCATATTCCATGGAAGGCTAATCATACACATAGTAGAGGACTAGGGAGTACATATTAACAGATGTTGTCTACGAGGATACTCGATGCATGGTAGCCATGGGAGTCTTCTGTAGTTTTCTAGGGTTATGGACGAAATCTGGCTCAATCAAAATTTATGCAAATTTTTCATTCTTGAAGCGATTAGACCATTAGGGTTCTAGGGTACTTATACTTTTGAGGAAGCCAATAATGCATACAAATGCTAATATGTCATATAGGCATTTGTCAGTTTTGGTGCTCGCTCTTTTACTTATTGTAATATGTTCGGATGTTGCAGACTTTGAAATTTGTTCCATGCCATAGTCATAGCTACCTCACATGTATATTGATATATTTACTTGGCCTTAGTTGGATTACTTGAACTGTTCATCTGTTTGTTGCATGTGTTGTCATAAAAATGTTTGAACGATCTCCTTAGGTTTTCTTGCAACAAAATCTTTTGTTGATGTTGTTGCAATGTAACAAAATACTTGCTGGAAGGGCATACCATCATGGCTCTTGGCTTGTCACATGTGATATTTCTTTCATAATTGTGCATATATGGTATAATGCTTCACACCAAGTCTCCATTGCAATTAAAGTGCTTCAGAGAAGGAGCACCCATATTAAATCCTTAGTAATTTCGTGAAATACATGGACTGATAGAATGTGGCCATAGACTTTAAATCCTTAATATTTCGTTAAATGTGATGGTTTATAACATGGGGTATACTCAAGCAAAAGTTGACTTATACTGGTCTAATGCCTGCAACTAGCATCGTGGTAAAAGGCATACATACAGATAATGAGGTTACTTTAGTGTACTGTGATAATACAAGGAGTAACTTGCTTTTTAGAGGAACAAAAAGTGAGGATTAAAATAGAGGCCTCTTCACAAAATTAGATACTGCAGTAGAGAACACATTATCATGGAAACAGCCTCTCTACTCGGCGGGTAGAGGTAAGTTGGTAACGTGTACATACATCCTACCCTCCCCAGACCCTACTCCGTGTGGGTTCACTGGGTTCGTTTGGTTTTGGGTTTGGTAGCAAAAACATTATGTACACTTCCGACTAAATCCATGTGAACCGTGTGAGCAATTCAAACTGAGAGGATTCCTCTTGCTGATGCTCTAGGCAATGCCACCTAAAGTAGTTAGGTGTGTTATAATAATTACAGGTAACATTAAATATCCTTGAGTTGTCACCAAATCACCTCCTAAAACCTCTCTCAGAGTGACCTACTCTCTGGGATATGTATTGGTGCAGGTAAGTTAATAACTTGTAGAGTACAAATCAAGCAGGAAAAAGAGACAGAAAACTTTATGGTCGACATGAAACAATATTAAACTTTAGGTTCCAAAACAGAAAATTTCAAATCTGTCAAAGTGGGAAACTGTCAAACAGCAAAAAACTTCGAACTCTAGGGTCAAAAAGCTTATAAATGTCGAGCTGCAGAGGCCAAACACAAGAGTATCAGGTTTCTTGGCTAAAACAAGGGTCAATCATAAAAAATTTACACACACTTGTTGCTTCCTTGGCTTTTAGCCATCTTGAGACAGACAAAAAAGCAGTTGCTCTAATAAACAAGCTAACCATAAACCAAGAGCCACAACAGTGTCAAACCATGAACACAAGCCAGGTAGAGCAAAGGATATCCAACCAATAACTAATCAAGCATCAAGTCGCACTGATCAATCAAACCGACAACTTTTAGAAAATTATTCCCAGTCTTGCCACACATAGAGGAGACAACCAAAGGTGACCTTGCGGCCTGGTAACTCAATCATGCCATTAAGCAGTGGATAGTCTGTGGCATCAGCAAAGCACATACATTAGTCAACATAAAGTAGATCAGATGCAACAGGGAATGGCATAAACCAGGTACATAGTCCAGTCCATTCTACTACTGGTGGGAGACTGCTGTTGGATCAGAGCAGCATTGATAATTGCTGGGTGCTGCTAATGCATTGGTGCTTTAAAAAATTTAGCATGGGGCTATAGCTTGTTGGTTTGTACAGCCTGATACCATGAAGGTAGAGGGTCAAGAAAAATGATGATCATATTAGTGAGCATATACGGAAATATATAGTACGCTATGGGACAAAATATAAAACTACTATCCTATATGTCTAACAAGAAAGGTAAGCTCAATCAGCATTTCAGGAGATGGAAGCCTTTCTCAAAGCTTATTCATTGAAGTCTTGGCAGGGCTGTATCATGTCAACAAGGTGATATGGAAAGTGTGTAACGGGAAATAAGCTCAGTCAAATCTGATGATTAAATCCCTTGAAGGTTTCCATTTGACTCATATTGCAGAATACTGCAAATTTTTATAGGGTGCCAGGACTAAAGAATAACTGGTGGCCTCTGTTCCGCACGTGTACTTTCTGGATGGTACGTTACAAATAGAACAACTGTATACAGATTGGGCAGACTCAAGAGTTGGAGCCTGCTTTTAGGCTGGGTAGGTGGGTGATTTGCTTTGGGTTTAGGGTTTGTTTTTGGGGCTGAGGTGTAGAGGCTGCAGTGGTGATTGGGTGTCAGGGATTGAGACAATAAGCCTTATTTTCTAGTTTACCAGTGCATATTTTTTTTTCATCTTCCTCTGGTTAATGTTTAGTAATGTGTAGACCAGCAGGTCAATGAAGTAGATAACATCAAACTTGCAACCGAATACACTATGCTGTAAACCAGGAAATGCTATTATTGAGTATGAATGACCCAATAAGAGAACTTCTATGCAATCTATACAAGGTCCAATATGTGAGACAGTTCTTGTAGTTTATTTTGTGCCTATATGTATATGTTGCCGATATCTGGGTGATGGCAGATTGTGGTTTTTGTATTTTAACACATGTATATGATGGAAGATAAAAAGATCAGAGATCTGAGTTTGTATGTATATTTATCCAGATGAGAATCTGTGCATATACTTGATTATTAGTTTGAGGTTTTATATACTGATGTGACTTTGCACCTGTTGGATTTTCCTAAATCATTTGATGTACTTTTTACATTATATGCATGTAGTGGCTTGCATTTTGTTTACGTGGATGCATGTATCCTCCTTGTAAGCTTATAGAATTTAGCAAGAACTTGATACAATATTCTCCCTCTGCCCAAACATGCAAAGTTTGACTTGACACATAGTTTAGTAAAAGTGTTCTATTATTGGTCAAATGTCTAAAATGCACCCTTAGTAAGGACAAAGGATAGAAATTTTGTGGACAACAATCACAGTTACTAATCTTAAGTAACGATCACAAATGGGAAAAAATGGGATTGAAAACTTTCCAGAAAAGGAAATGATGCATTTTCGGGCACAACCCAAAATGGAAATGGTTGCATTTTTTCAGTGTAGCAATAGTAATTATCATCAAATTATTTGTATTCCAAGTTTTTGATAAGAAGAATCAATTGGCTATCATTTCTTCTAATGGTCTAGATATTAAATTGATTTTTCACCAATTCAGGTGGATACAATCTTGGACAAGGGAAACTTTACGCTAGAGGAGCTTCTTGATGAGGATGAAATAATCCAAGAATGCAAAGCTCTTAATAGCCGACTTATCAATTTGTAAGCCCACAACCTGAGCTAATATTTCTTTCTAACAATCTCTAGCATTCATAGCTCATCGGTGGTATTTTTACATTTTACACGCTGGTTATATGCCTTTATGTTCATATGCTGTCTAGAAGGCTTTTTGTTTTGTTTCAGCTACCTTTATCTATTTTGAGCACTTGTGTGGTTGTGTATGTTTTGCAGAATAGCCATCTTTTTGCATTTGCAGATCGTTCCATAACATAACTAGATGATAAGCAAGTCTTAAGTCATCATTTGATAAGCTAACCTCTTGATCTAGTCCGTTGTAAATGCAGATTAGTGATCTCTTGGTGCAATAGTGATGCATAAACATTCAACTATGCAATAGCGGTTGAACCCAAATGACCTTGAGTGTGCTTCAGGTTCATAATTGCGTATAACACCAGCAGGTTGTATTCCTGAAATGAATCGTAGTGGAGACATACTGAAAGGGGAAGAGTTTCCCCAGGCAATTTTATAAAGACAGTAAAAACAATCACCGAACAAAACAATCAGCAAGAGTAACTACGGCACCCTTGACTCACAAACCAAGTCATAAGGAGCCAAAACAGACAAAGGGAAATACACCAAAACAAAATAAAACCATAAGCCAACAAGCAAAAGGCCAAA